TCAGTTTTTGTCTTGCTGATTTGCTTGAGTTCTTTGTAGGTTCTGGTTATTAGCCCTTTATTGGATGTATAGCTTGTGAATATTTTCTGGAGGTTGTCTGTTTGCTCTGTTGATTATTTCCTTAGCTGTGCAGAAGCTTTTTTAATTTAATTAAGTCCCATTTATTTATTTTTGTTGTTGCTGTAATGCCATTGGTGTCTTAGTCATAAATTCTTTGCCTAGGCTGATGTCTAGAAGACTTTTTCCTACATTTTCTTCTGGAATTTTTATGGTTTTATGCCTTACATTTAAGTCTTTTATCCATCTTGAATTAATTTATGTGAGTTGTGAGAGATGTGGATCTTATTTCATTTTTCTGCATGTGGCTATTCAAGTTTCCCAGCACCATTTATTGATAGGGATTCCTTTCCCCAGTGTATATTGTTGTCTGTTTTGTCAAAGATCAGTTGGCTGTACATGGGTGGTTTTATATCTGGGTTCTTTGTTCTGTTTCATTGGTCTATGTCTCTGTTTTTGTGCCAATATTATGCTGTTTTGATTACTGTGTGGTATAGTAGTATCAATGGACATCTGATAATGTTATGCCTCTAGATTTATTCTTTTTGTTTAAGATTGCTTTGGCTATTTGGGCTCTTCTCTGGTTCTAAACGAAGCATAGAATTATTTTTTCTAGATCTGTGAAATATGATGTTGGTATTTTGATGCTGATTCTATTAAATCTGTAGATCACGTTGGGTAGTATGGACATTTTTACAATGTTGATTCTACTGATCCATGAGCATGATATGTTTTTCCATTTGTTAATGTCATCTACAGTTTCCTTCCTCAGTGTTTTATAGTTTTCTTTGTAGAGATCTTTCACCTCCTTGGTTAAGTATATTCTAGGTATTTTATTTTCCTTGTGGCTATTGTGAAAGGTATTGAGTCTTTGATTTGATTCTCAGCTTGACTGTTATTGGTGTATAGAAATGCTACTGATTTGTGTACATTGATTTTGTACCCTGAGACTTTGCTGAATTTATTTATCAAGAATCGGCTGCTCATCTGGTGCTTTTGAATGTATACCTTTGGTATGATGTTAATAGTACGTTTAAGGTTAAATTTATTTGCAGGATTATTTGTATAAAGCCAATGGAGAAACTAAATGTTATAGTTCAAAAGAATGGAAGACCACTGAAGAACACTGAGAGCTCCTTCAGGGCAGGAATAAACTATCTTATTCATTTTTATATGTATAATACCTGACATAGTGCCTTCTGTTCAATAAGTACTTATTGAATGAATGAACAGAAATATCAGTGAAAAGTTGTGATTTGTGTTGGGCCTTGAAAAGTGGTTGAATTTGATTTGGTGGAGGGAAATGAGATAGCTTGTCAAAGTAGTAGGACTTTATGAGTAAAGGCACAGAAGCTGGGATGAGCTTATTGGATTTTGTGAGAAACTGCAGGGGAGTGTCAGTCTGATTAGAGGCCTGTGGTGGGTATTGTGGTGGTAATGGTTGATAAGAAGTCAAAAAAGAATAACTACGAAGAATGGGGTCTGCCGTAATAAAAGAACCCCCCTACTAACCAACCATCTTGGGGAAAAAACAAAAAACCGGACGACAACCGACCAAAAGAGACCAGGCCTGTAAACCCAATCCACAGAAAAACCAAGGCAGAAGGATACAACAAGGAAAACAGTAAAACCCAGGACAAGGTGCTGAGACGAAATAAAAACAAAAAAAAAACAAAAATCAACCAAGAAAGGCGGTCTCACACAATAACCCCAACTACCGGAGAAACAGAAGCAGAAGCATTGGTCGAAAAAGGAAACTAAAAAGAACAAAGAAAAATAACAAGGCAAACCCACCCCACCAAACCTGAGGGACAAACAGACACACTGGCACAACAAAACAAAACAAAAAAAACATCAAAAACGCACAGCCAATGGACTCAAATCTAAACATCCAAAACACTATTCGGCAGAAGAGAAAACTCTGATAAAGGCAAGTCGCAATAGACCAAAGTCATAGAGAAACAACCTACTAAAAGGAACTCACAAGATAATAAAAAAAGTTGAACAAAATAATCATTTAAAAATTCTTCCCATTCCTGCTTCATTTTTTCCACCTGAAATTGGATAATCATTACATTGTAATACTTTTTCACTTACAGTTTAGTTCTGAGGCCAAATTTGATCATAATAGTACAATTACTAGAATTAATTCTAATTAGCATTAGAAGCTGTAGCTTCAGTAGTAATGCCAAGACTCCATGTTTTTCTTTTAAAGTGTGCTATAAGTACTTAGTATTGAGTAAACACTGGATTTTTGTCAGACTTTTAGAAGAAACAGAAGGGAGAATTAGAAGTATAATCAGAGACAAACAGCGAGGTTGCAGAGAAATTTTTTAAAAAATAAATGTGTACTTAGATTAAAGGATAATTATTTTAGTTTTACATTTTACTGGCTAGATATCATACTACAAACATTTTCTGATTTTGAATTCTGTAGTTGTTTTGTCTAGAACACTACATAGCTATTCATCTCATTCATTATTACACTCAGGAGTTGTTGTAGCCAGCTCTTCTAAAGCTGGAGGGTCTCAGAGTGAGTATTAGAGCTCGAATGAGGACCTGTGACTCTGGGGTTTGCAATCGTCATTTATCCTATTGCAGAATGCAAGCCCTCACAAATTTTGTGAAGTACACTCCAAAGACATGGTTTTGTTCTCAACTGCGATGACACTGTAATTGATCAAATAGATTCTTTCAAAGAGTCATAAATTCTTACTGGAGTTTGAGGAGATGTCATGTTCATTTGTCAACATGTCACTCCAGGGACACAGGTGCAACAAATTTATGGAGGAAGTGCCTCGTGTTTCTCCTGAGCCACATAAATATGAGGCAGAATTGATTGGAAACGTGTGGCTTTAGATTACTGTTCAGATGGAGAGCAATTAAGATCTCTCAGTAGAAGGCATTGCACTAGGATTCGCAGGTTTTCTTGTAGCATAGGCAGGGATCGGGTCTGAGGGGACCCCAGAGAAATTTTTGGAGACCTGCAGATATCTTCTCAGAAAAGAATACTAAGGCATTTCTCCTCTGGCAGAGAGAATATTGTACATTTTTAGTCAAGTGCGTGATTAACTTTGACATTTGGAAATGGAACTTCATGTAAAAATAAGCATGGTACTTCTGCATGTTTAATTAAGATGTTTAGTTCCTGTCAAGGCTGATAGTTTTTTTTCCCCCCCTGTGAAGGGCAATATATTCTCAACTTCTGAAATTTCAGAAACCTGTACTTAACCTTTAATCGTCACTCCATTTACATGGAAATCTGATTAACAACTTTTAAAGTTCATGAGCTCCTGGTAAATGCAATTAAGACCTTTTTGGAGTTTGTTATTAAGAGCTGGCATTTCAAAAAGACTAGGGCCTGGCTGCTGTTGCTGTCTTCTCTATAGCAAGATGTCTTAAGCAATTAGCAGGGAACATGAGGTACATGAATTGTGCTGTGTTGCTTCTGCGTTAACATGGTTGGTATTTAAACAGCACGCTGTCTTTCTCTTCTCTATGACTTGCTTTACGGTATGAGCTTGTTACTGGGTGGTAGAATAGGGCCAGGATAATTAGGTGGAGCTGTGGCAGTTTTCATAAGTACAAGAGTTAGGCACAGTTCCCCACCCCTGAAGTCATGTTTACAAACATCCATTCTCATGTGTAGAGTCAGATTAATCAGCCTACTGCACTGGATTTGTTATATCTCTCTATTGGGTGTGGTAGTCCTTTTTTGAGGGTTAAAATTAAAATATGTGGTTATTGGAGAGAGAGATGATACAGGTATACAACTATTTTATAAATCCTTAGGCCTTTGAGTCATTGCCTTTGGGTCAAGGGGATCAAAAGGGGGAGTTAAACTTATTGGAGCAGACATGTGTAGTATGCTTTACAAACTGAGATGTGCTGTGATGTATGGAAAATGGTGAGTTGGGTAAATAGTTGAAGGCAGAAAGGATCTTATTGGATCAGGCATGTTTTTTTTTTTTTCCCCACTTACTGATAGAATTGGGCTTATGATGCATATAATGCATTTCCTAGATACTCTATGTATGCAGGACACTATGCTTATTAGTATTTAGAGGGATGACAAGAGAAAAATAATGATGAATCAACAGACAAATCAATAAGATATATTGCATATAACTGTACTATTAAATAATACTTGAATCTTTACCTATTTCTGTGCTGTTTGAACTTTTTATGAGCCTATATTGCTTTTAAATAAGAAATCAAAATAAAGCAGAATTATTTGGGAAAAATATAAAGTTAAGTATGAAAACCAATCTAAAAGAATTAAATTTGATGCCAGAAATATCAGTGAAATAGCTCTCCATTTTGGGGCCCTCGAATTTCTATATTTACTGTAAACTTAAACCAGCAGCACAGCTCATGTGAATAACCTTTCAAATTACAGACCAATGTCAAATGTAGCAGATAAGTGAAATAGTTTAATCCCATGCTTTGAATTATCATATAACATTTTCGTAGAAATAGTGTATAATAATCATAATAATTACAGACCTGTTGTAGTTCTGGAAATTAGTTTTCTGGCAACAAAACTGATAAAATAGGATTACTTTTTGTTTAACCAAGCTGCCGACAGTTATTTTTCATCAATTTAGTGTCTTGCTCAAGGAATTTATGTACCTATGATCACCTTCAGATGGAAGAATTTTGCTTATGTTGTAGAAAGAATCTTTCTTATGCAAGAGTTGACAAATCAAAAAATGAGTGATATGAAGTTATTTCTTCATTTATAAAGGATTTTAATAAGATATTTCAGTTTGACATGAATTTGTGATAGTATAGGGTAGTATTAGACAAAGTGCTTTCTCCTCAAATCGTATTGTAGGTTAAGAGATAAATACAGGCAAAGTTAAATATACAGTAGTATATGATTAATTTCCATGTCCACGTGATCATTTGTGAATCTTCTAGGAATTTAAAGGATGACTTTAAACAGATCAATCAGAGAAAGTTTTCTGCTTGGGGTAGGAGCTGAACTGGTTCTTGGAGGAAGGCAGGATTTAGGTGTGTGAGAAGGTCTTTCTAGATAGGGATAATATGCATTTATTCAGGACAATGAGTAGCTAATTGAATTTAGTCAGATCCTGAAGAGCCGTAGATGAACTCAGTTGGGATCTTCTTTGTGGACTTTTTAAAGAAAGGAACCACTTTATTTTTCTCTGTCTACCAGTACTTTGTATAGCACTACCTTGTACTTCCAACCCCATTATCTCCCAGTCTTCACTGCATTCCCCTTAAATCCCAATGGGAAGGTACTAAACACAGTTCCTGGCACTCAGTAGGTACAAAATAAATTTTAATCTGCATTTATTATCCCTAAAGATTCCATTTTGAATGCACTATAAGCAAATGTTCTTTTTATAAGTGTGTCAATATCACACATTAACAGATAACCAATATGAAAGAGTCTTTAGTAACTGAACTGGTAATTGAAAATGCTGAGTCTCAGCCAGTTAATTGAATAAACTGTCTCCAGAGAGTAATTTGGATCTTTTCCAAGATGCATTAACTCTTTCAGGTCATTAGGGTAGCACTTATCTCATTGGAGCAGAAATGTAATAAATGGTATTCCTGTGATGTGAGTAAATTAATGTACCTCAGAAAGCCTGAAGTTTCACCATGGGTGTTGTAGTGATACTCTGAGGTCCTCATCTGTGAATGTGAAACATCAATAAGTAGCTGCCCTTTAGAGGATCTTACTTTCAATTTAGGTAACCTACTAGAGAGCATCTCCTTTGTTTAAGACACTGTGCTAGATGTCGACAGAGATACAAAGAAAAGGCATGGCTGGAACTGAGAGGCAGCAGAGAAGGCAAATAACTACCAGATGAAATCCTTGAGAGATGCCAACTGCTGTGTGGGTTTTAATGAGAGTGAGTTAACCACGGTTGACAGTAAGATAGATGATAATCTCCCAGAAGGCAGGAATCATGGCTTGTTTGCACAGTATGCTCATTCATGTTTATTCTCTCAGTACATACACATGTATATGTATAAATATGAACAAATATGTATATATTATAAATATGAGCCAGATCAATCAGAAGTGTTTATTACAATTTTCACATGTGCCATTTTTTGCCTTGTGAGAATATGAATTATTCATGTCTGGCATTGATCTAAAGTGACTATGGTAAGGATGTGAAAAAAAGCAAAAAAGCCAGCATCTTTTGGAGAAATGCTCACTGGTTACCTAATAGCCTCAATTTGGGTGTCAGCCTACTGGTGGTATATGGACCTCCAGCTCAAAAAGAGAGTAAGAATGATTTATTTTACCCATTTGTGTATTATATGTTTATATATAATAGGAAGATAGAGGCAGCTAGTTATCATTATAAGACCAAGGAGAAATGACATAAAAAGACCACTACAAGAAGAACTTTCAGAAGAAGAAGGTAGAGCTAACATCCCTAGGAGAAGATAAAATTTCAAAGCTATAGCCCTACCTCTGTTTCCGTATATACAAAGTTGGGCATCTTCTCCATGCAAGTGGATTCTGATCAGTAACATCTGAATGGAATAAAAATAGTTTGCAAAAATCAATTAAGATCTATTTAGATTCACTTTCTATATCTTATTCCCTATGTTTGATATGTGGAAGAGGTAGTTACTGGCAGAAAAAAAGAAAGATAAATTCAGACAGGACAAAAACCTTTGGGAGTTATTTAGGAAACAGAAAATAATTTAATCAACTGGTAATAATGTTAAATAAATTAATAGGAGCTAACCCTACAGAGGTTGATCCAGGGCTGTGTTGTGAAAGGCACTGAAGAATAGTGAAGAGATAGAAGTTTATTTTGAAGGCAAAGAGAAAGCCATTGAAAGACTTGATCAGAGGAATGATAACATTGAGCTTAATCTGGTAGCAGGTTGTGGGATAGAATGTTGTGAATGAGAGTCAGAATGACCACTTAGGAAACTGTTTTAATAATCAATGTGAAATATAACAAGGATCTGATTTAGAAAGACGGAGTGTGGGAATTAAAATATTTAGAAGAGGGAATGCATGTGAAATGTGTAGTATAAAATTTATAGGATTTAGCAGGTGATTTGGAGAACAAGACTGAAAAGAGTGACAGCTAACCACAAATTTTGATCCTAGGTGATCAGAAAAATGATAATGGCATTGACACAGAGAGGAGCTAAGGAGCCCTTCTTTTTTTCTCATTTCCTGTCTTAGAAGAGACAGGAAAGTAAAGACTTTGCTTGGTCAGGCTGAGTTCATTGGACCCATGTTTCAGCACTTCCAAAAAATCTGTACTGTTTTCACCTGCTTATTGTGTTAAGGATATGAAAACCCAGATGCTCTTGCAGGCAATGACAGTGTATCACTGGAGCTGTGGAGAAAAGTATGATGTAAGAAGGAGATTTGGAAATCGTATGACACGTAGAAATAATGTCAAATGGAAGAAAGCAAGAGCAAGAGTAAGGATATGGAGTATTCAGGCAGTTTGGATGAAAAATTTGGTGGTCACACTCATTGAAGTGAAAGAAAATATTCCAAAAGTTTAGAGAATTGGTATTAACAGAAGCCTGGATTTAGTGATCAAGATCTTTATTGTAGAGCAAAGTGGTAGAGGAGAGGAGAAGAATGATAGCTGTGAGAAGATGATGAGAATATAATTTCATCTATTTATTTATACTTACAAAGTAGTTGCTGTGCTACAGGCAATGTTCTAAGTTTGCAATCCCCAACCCCCAGGCCATGGCCTGGTATCAGTCCGTGACCTGTTAGGAACACAGGCCACTCGTCACTGCCTGAGCTCTGTACCATGCCCCCCATCTCTGACACTCTCCCCTGGCAGCAGACCATGGAAAAATTGTCTTCCATGAAACCAGTCCCTGGTGCCAGAAAGGTTGGGGACCTCTGTTCTAAGTGATTTACAGTATTAGCGCATTTAATTCTGATGATAGTACTATGGAGTAGATAATATCATTATTCTTGTTTTATAACTAAGGAAACTGAGGTTCTGAAGCACAGAGAGGTAACATCAGAGATATATAGTTCCTAGAATGGATTAAAAAAGAAAACAGACAAATAATAGTCTGTTATTGTGCTAAGCATTTTATATGTATTATTTCTTTTAATTCTTGCGTTAATTCTATGACTAAGTTTCTGTTATTATCCTTATTTCACAGATGAGGGAAATAAGACTTATAGAGATTAAAGAAGTTGGCTAAGGTCACCTAGCTAATAAGTAGTAGAGCCAATTTCAAGCATAGACTTTCTACATTTCTATATCACCCACTTATTTTGTAGTTCTAAGGCAGGGCACACGAATCTCTATTTTTTAATAAATTAGTTCTCCAAATGATTCCTATGTGTAGACCAATTTTCCCAGAATTTTAGTGCAAACTGAGAAGAAAGAGGCATATATTTGTTCAGAAGAGGGAAAGCACTGTGGTCAGAGAATTCTGAATTGGTCACCTTAGAGATGGAATATTTCCTAAGGGGAAAGAATGCTAAAGAGCAATGGAGTAGACGCCATTGGAATTGAGATTGAGAAAGACTGTGATGATAGAAGGAGTCGTTAATATATTATGCTGAAACATATGAGTCTTAATACAGAGTAAGATTATGTTAATTAATCACAGAATTAAATACTAGTAGCTGAAGTTTCTCTAATGGTACAAGAAAAGCTTACAGCGTGGTAGTCAACATTGTTGAGAAAAGGGGGAGAAAGTGATGTAAACAGGTAGAATGTTTGAATGAGATGGGCAGAGAATATGTTGAAGGTGCAGTTAGGAATGTGCCTCTGGATGTTGAGACCACTTTGTGTCTTCCCCTAGCATATTCTCTTTTCTTTTCTATGAGTGAAAATAGGAATAACAAACCATCAAAATACTATGGGATCCAAAATACTTGGAGGAAAACTGACAGAAATGAAAGGAGCAGTGGAAAATTCAATAATTACGGTTGGGGATTTCAATACTCTTTCAATAATTAATAGAACAACTAGGCAGAAAACACAGAAGACTTGAGCAATACTATCAACAACCTTCACTTAAACTGACATGTATGGTATACTCTAACCAAAACCATTAGAGTACAGATTATCTCAAGTTCACATTGAATATTCCCCATGCAAGACTGCTAGATCATCATGTACTTCCCCATGCTAGATCATCAAGTACTTCTCAATACATTTAAAATGATTGAAATTACATGAACTATATTTTCTGACCATAAAAGAATTAAACAACAATAACAAAAACCAGGAGAACATTTAGAAATCCCCAGATATTTGGAAATAAAACAACAAACTTTTAAATGAAAAATGTGTGAAAAAAAAAGAAAGTCTTAAAATCAACAATATTCTATTTTCACCCCAAAAGCTAGAAGAAGGAGAAAAACTCAAACCCAAAGCAAGCAAAAGTTGGGAAATAATGGTTAAAATGAAAATTAATAAAATAAATATCAGAACAACAGAAAAAATTGACGAAGCCAAAAGTTGGTACTTTGTAAACATCAAAAATTGATAAATTATTAGCTAGACTGACCAATTAAAAATGAAAGAAATGACAAAAAAATACCAAAATCAGGAATGAAATAAGAGACATCACTACAGACTCTACAGAAATTAGAAGGATTATAAGGGAATATTATGGGAAGGTTTATGCCTATCATTTAGACAACTTAGATGAATTGGATAGATTTCTGGAAAGATGCAAAGTACCAAAACTGACTCAAGAAAAATTAGAAAATCTAAATTGTCCTAAAACAAGGAAATTAAATTAGTGATTAAAAATTTTCCCACACATACACAAATCACACAAATGTTCTATCAAACATTTAGAGATGAAATAATACCAATCCTTTGCAAACTCTTTCAGAAAATAGAGATGAGGAAACACTTTCCAGTGCATCCTATTATTCAAATTCTACTCTAATAACAAAGTTAAAAACATCACAGGAAACTATGGAGCAATATGCTTCACAAACATAGAAGTAGCAGTCTGGAACAAAATATTAGCAAATTGGATCTATCAACATATAAACTACGTTATATATTATGATTATGAGATTTATTAAAAATCAATTAATATATATTGCTATTTTTTCTTTTATTTTTTAAATCTTTTTTAATAGTTTTTTTTGTTTGTTTGTTTGTTTGTTTGTTTTGAGACACTCAAAGTCTCACTCCATTGCCCTGAGTAGAGTGCCATGCCATCAACCTAGCTCACAGCAGCCTCAAACTCCTGGGCTCAAGCAGTCCTTCTGCCTCAGCCTCCCGAGCAGCTAGGACTACAGGTGCACATCAAGACTCCTGGCTAATTTTTATATTTTTAGTAGAGATGGGGTCTCGTTGCTCAGGCTGGTCTCAAACTCTTGAGCTCAAGCAATCCTCCCACCTCGGCCTCCCAGAGTTCTGAGATTGCAGGTGTGAGACACTGCACCCAGCCAATATACTGTATTAATGGAATAAAGGACCAAACACACATAATCATCTCAGTAGATATAGAAAAGCACTTGAATCCTATTTTTCTTTTTTTAAAGGAACTTTCTCAACATGATCAAAAGCATCTGTGAAAAACCTGCAACTAGAATAATGAAGAAACTTTTTGAGGTGATAGAAGTATTCTAATATGATTGTGGTGATGGTTACACACTCTGTACATTGAGATTAATACTAAAAATTGTTGAACTGGCACTATCATGGGTGAATTTTATGATATATAAATTGTAACCCATGAAAACCATTTTAATGCTATTATGGGATAGAATTAGATTATAGATATTTGATAATATATGACTTTCCGAGTGCTGATAATTTTTTATGAGCTTATATACATACACTTTGCAGTCTTAATACTGCTAAGCAGTCCTAAGTTAATTTATAAATCATGGAAATCTCATCAACGCTATACCTTTTCACATTATGTATTTTAGTATACACATGAATATGAATATTCATACACTTCAAAGGGGAATGTATTCCAAACTAAACTTACTATTCTACTAAACCTCTTCTTCCTATATTCCTGATTATTGTTCAGGGAACCATAATTTTTTTAGTTCTTCAAAATGCGGTCTTTGAGCTATTGGTTTTATTTTTTCTCTCTTTTTCTTTTTGGCATAATCGTTATATTTTTGTTCTTTTCTTCCCTCTGCATTGACTCTTAAGTTTGTTCCTAACTCTCTCATTTGTCCCTAATAATCTCATTCCCCCTACTTTAGTTTAAAATCTCTTTATTATTTTTTTTTTCTTGAACTATCTTGGTTGGTTTTCCTTTCTCCCTCTTCTCCCTTCATAATATTTTGTTAATCATTTATTTTTGCCCCCAGTCCATTGCCTCCCAGCTTATTATTTTGTATGCTGCCAGATTAATTTACATAGCATATAATTATCACCATTTCATTCACTTATTTCAAACCTTGTTTTTTTGCTCCTCATTTTGCATTTGACTTCAATTCATGGGCTTGATGTTAATGACATCTTTATGACAGCTGATGTTAATGACATCTGATGTTAATGACAAACTTCAAAGTATGTCAGTGTACCACCTTTTCAGGCTTGACTCTCATTCTTCAGTTTTATATCACCTGAAATGTTTGTTTGCTGAAGATGCCCTAAATTTCCCCAGTATTATTTCTTTGTTGGTTCTATTCTGTCTGCCTTTTTTTTTTTTTTTTTGGCTTTCACACATTCTGAGAATCTGTTTATATCTTTCTATAGTGCCATGATCTTGAAGCCTTTTTTCATTGTCCTAATTAATTAGGAGCAATTGTGCCCTCCTCTAAATGCTTTTTGCCATTTCTTTATCCTATGGTTTTACCACTTACTCCTTTGTATTGGAATTATGCCTGTGTGACTGTATTAGTAAGTAAGCACATTGAAGGAAAGATTTATTTTTTCAGTCCTGTTTTTAATCCAGTACAATGCCTTGCATATTTTATGTGTTAAACAAATATGTATTTAAATTAAAAGTGAATGATAATATTCTTTTTGAAGCTAATAAAATAGGGTTTTCTTTGCTAAGAGCTATTTTGGTGGGATAAAGGGAAAAAAAGGCAAAACGTGAGCTCTTTGATCTCAGTTTTGCTGGTGGGTGTTTGATAAAAGACCAAAAAATACATAAATGCATACATACTCTTGGTTTGTCTTGGTTTGTTTTACTCTGAGCACTAAAGTAATGAACTATCAACAAGACTATACTAATAGCGGTTTTAATTATACAATTGCCATTGACAATGAGCATAATTAAGCAGACAGCCATTTCATTTTCAAAATGACTGTTTATTTTTTTTTTGGTTTCCTTACTGCAGAATATTTTAGTCCTTGTACAAGGGGAAATTAGATTACTGTCTTGGAAAAAAAGTAACTTTTTCTGTTATTAACATTCCATTCACTAGTAACCCTCTGGAGAGAACCTGATAGCTTTTAGTCATTTTAAATGGCGGTCTTATTTTTAAAATATTGCTCTACTGTTTCAGTCTCTTTGTTGTAATAGTTTCCAGAATCAAGGTAATAATTTGAGGGGTAGATTACAATGATTTTGTCTCTCACGCTTCTCTGAATTTCTTTCTAGACATTCTCCATATCCTACGACTATACTTCCTGCTTGGGCTCTCTCCCCTTGTTCATGAAAATTGGGAGGCACCCTCTGGGGGAACACCTAATTTATGCCTAATTTGGTTCCTCTCCAGGGCCTTCACATTCTTATTTTTATATATCTTTTTCAACTTTCATGATTATTAGCATGAAAGCTTGTCCAATGAAAACTGCTTTGCTGTGCTTAGAATACAAACTCTTGGTCATCTGCATTTTAAAAGAGGAAATTATTGAAAATTATAGTATTTAATATAGGCACATTCAAAATATTGCCTAATGGAAGTCTTAGTTCATGTTGGGAGCTCAAGGTGATTTTTTTTTATCTTATTGCTCCTGTTAGAAGAAGCAGTTTAGTTCTCAGATTAATCAAGGAGGGCCAATACAGCTTTGATGTAAATCACTGAATATGTGAAGTTAGTAGTCAAGAGAATTGGATTCTTAGTTTTATCTTAATAGAGTGACATCTATGCAAACCACTACTCCTGTTTTTATGAGATACCACTATTCTACAAAAACAGTATTTGTGATATAAATGTCAGTAGATGCATATTCATATATATTCATCTATCTGTAGGTATCTTAGTCAAGGAACAAAAAACCATTTAAGTTATCACAAAGAAAAAATAAAGAAAATTTAGTAGAGGCTGGAGAGATATTTTATACAACTAAAGAGTAGAAAATCTAAGAACTTGTCAGCAACTGGATTTGAGACCTGCAAAACTAGAAAATATTTAAAGGTTGCAGCCTTTAAATCTCTCTCCTGTGGGTCTCCTATTTCTTTCT